GTAATCCATCATATAAATAAACTGAAAGAAAATAAACCATATGATCATTTCATTAGATGCTGAAAAAGCATTTGAGAAAATTCAACACCCCTTTATGATAAAGGTCTTGGAGAGATTAGGGATACAAGGTTCATACCTAAATATAATAAAAGCAATATACAGCAAGCCGACAGCTAACATCAAATTAAATGGAGAGAAACTCAAAGCCATTCCACTAAAATCAGGAACAAGAAAAGGCTGTCCACTCTCTCCATACCTCTTCAATATAGTGCTTGAAGTTCTAGCAATAGCAATAAGACCACATAAGGAAATCAAGGGGACTTGAATTGGAAATGAAGAAGTCAAACTTTTGTTATTTGCAGATGATATGATAGTATACATAAGCGACCCCAAAAACTCTACCAAAGAACTCCTACAGCTGATAAGCACCTTTAGTAATGTGACAGGATGCAAGATCAACTCCAAAAAATCAGTTGCCCTCCTATACACAAAGAACAAAGAAGCAGAGAGGGAAATCAGAGAAACATTACCTTTCACGATAGCCATAAATAGCATAAAGTATCTTGGGGTAACTCTAACCAAGGAAATGAAAGATCTATTTGACAAGAACTTTAAGTCTTTGAAGAAAAAAGTTGAAGAGGATAGCAGAAAATGGATCTCCCATTCTCTTGGATTGGTAGGATCAACATAGTAAAAATGACGATTCTACCAAAAACAATCGAGAGATTCAATGCAATCCCCATCAAAATCCCAAAAAAATTCTTCACAGACCTTGAGTAGTGTTTCATTTACATATGAGGGTGCTCTTGTATTTGGGGCATAGATGTTCAGTATTGAGATTTCCTTTTGATGTGACTAATATGAAATGTCCTTTTTTGTCTCTTTTGGTTGATTTTAGTTTGAAGTCTATTTTGTTAGCTATTAGGATAGCTACACACACTTGTTTCTTAGGTCCATTTGATTGGAAAAACTTTTTCCAACCCTTTACACTGAGGCAAAGTCTGTCTTTGAGGTTGAGGTGTGCTTCTTGTATCTAGCAGAAGAATGGATTCTGTTTTCATATTCAGTCCGTTATATTGTGTCTTTTTATAGGTGAGATGAGTACATTTATATTAAGGGATTTTAATAAGCAGTGATTATTAGTTCTTGATATTTTAGCTATTGTTGTTGGTGATGTGGGTTTTTTTTTCTCTTCTTTGGGATTTGCTGCTCCCATGATGATTTGTGAGATCATCTATTGTCTGTGTTTTTATTACGGTAGCCAACTTCTTTGGGTTGGAATTTTCCTTCTAGTACTTTTTGTAGGGCTGGCCTTGTGGCTAGGTATTGGCTAAATCTGGTTCTGTCATGGAATATCTTGTTTTGCCTATCTATGGTGATTGAAAGTTTTGCTGGCTATAGTAATCTGGGCTGGCATCCATAGTCTCTTAATGTCTGCATAATGCTTGACCATGACCTTCTGGCTTTCATTGTTTCCATTGAGAAGTCAGGTGTAATTCAGATAGGTCTACCTTTATATGTTACTTGACCTTTTTCCTCTGCAGCTCTTAATATTATTTCTTTAGTCTGTATGTTTTGTGTTTTGATTATTATGTGGTGAGGAGACTTTTCTCTTTTATCCAGTGTAGTTGGTGTTCTGTGAGCTTCTTGTATCTTCATAGGCATATCTTTCTTTAGGTTGGGAAAGTTTTCTTCTACGATTTTGTTAAATATATTTTCTGTGCTTTTGAGTTGGACTTCTTCTCCTTCTCCTACCCTATTATTCTTAGGTTTGGTCTTTTCATGGTGACCCATATTTCCTGAAAATTTTGTGTTAAGCTTTTGTTAGATGTAATGTTTTCTTTGACCAATGAGTCTGTTTCCTCTATTGTATCTTTAGTGCTTGAGATTCTTTTCCATTTCTTGTATTCTGCTGTTTATGCTTGCATTTGTGGTTCCTGATCATTTTCTCATAATTTTTGTTTCTATAATTTCCTTGGTTTGTATTTTCTTTATTGTCTCTATTTCAGTTTTCAAGTCTTGAAAAGTTTCTTTCATCTGTTTGATTGTTTTTTCTTGGTTTCCTTTAAGGAATTTGCTGATTTCTTCCAATATTTTATTTGTTTTTTCCTTCATTTCTTTTTAGGGAATTTTTCATTTCCTCTTTAAGGGCCTCAAACATTCTCCTAAAGTTATTTTTTAGGTCATTTTCTTCTGATTCAGCTATATTTGGGTGTTCAAGTCTTGCTGTTGTAGGGTCACCAGTTTTTGTTGGTGTCGTGTTGTTCTTTGTGGTGTTGAGTGTGTTCTTACCTTGTCTACCCATCTTTTTCTCTGATTGGTGTAGTTGAGGCTGTGTCTCTGGGGATCAATTTTCAGGTGCCAGTTGATCCAAGGCTCAGAAGCTTCTTCCTCATTGTGCAGTCAGAGTCACAGTTCTAGTCACCCTGAAGGTCACTTAGTGCTCCCAGGGATCACTCTGCATTCTGGGGGTCATTCAGTCCTGCTCTCATGGAAGTTGCTCCCTTGTACCTGCTCTGGCAGAGGTTGCTGGTTTGGGACTGGTCCCACCGAGGTCTCTGGCTCAGGCCTTCTCCCTCAGCAGTCTCTCCCTTGTACCTGCTCCTGTAGAGGTAGCTGCCTCAGGCCTGCTTGGCAGAAGTCTCTGTCTCAGACCAGCTCCTGTGGAAGTCACTGACTCCAATGGTGGTATTTTCTTATTCCCCATTGATCGACTGTGCTGGCACTGTTTATTTATTACTTTTCCCTCTTGGGTGTATTTAATCTTCTTTTCAAGTTGAAGTATTCCTTATAGCAGCCTCTGAAGAGCTGTCTTAATGGTCATAAGTATCTTTAGCCTATTGTTCTCGTGGACTTTTTCCTTCAATTATGACTGATAGTTTTGTGGGGTATAATAGTTGTCATGTGGGGAATCTAGGTTATCATCTGTGTTATGTCAGAACCTGTAGCACATCTGTCCAAATCATTCTGCCTACCTAAGTTTGTTTTGAAAAGTTGGGTGTTATTCTGATGGATCTGCTGTTATAGTTGACTTTGTCTTTCTTACAACTTTTGATTTTTTTTATGCTCTGTACATTGTAGGGGTTTGATTATTATGTGATATGGGTAGTTTCTTTTCTGTTTCTGTCTATTTGGTGTGCCTCTTATACCTCAATAGAAATCTCTTTAGCTTTGGAAATTTTTCTTTTGTGATTTTTGTTAAAAATATTTTCTATGACTTTGATCTAGATTTCTTATTTTTCTTCTACAGCTATGATTTGGGGGTTTTATCTTTTTATAATGTTCCAGAGTTCCTGATGGTTCTATTTTTTTGGTTTGTTGATGTTGACACTAATATTTTCTTTGGCTGTGTGATCCAAGTTCTCTACCTTCTCTTTGAGACCAAATAGTCTCTTTTTCATTTGACCTAAAGCTTTCTTATGAGCTTTTCTTTAATTTCCTGAGTTTTTTGTTTCAAATTTTGAGTTGTTTTGGCTATGGGATATTTTTGTACTTTCATATAAACTTTGAGATTGTATTTTCTAATAGTGTTAGAATTTTGATGTGAAAAGTATTGACTCAGTAGATTGCTTTGGGTATGATGGCCATTTTCACAGTATTAATCCTACCAACAAATGAGTGTAGGAGATCTTTACATCTTCTGGTATCTTAATTTCATTCTTTAGTGTATTAAACTTTTCATTATATAAGCCTTTTACTTTTTTGGTAGATTATTCTGAGATATTTTTGAGGTTATAATAAATGAGATCATTTTCCTGATTTCTTTTTCAGTATGTTTGTTGCTGGTATGTAGGAAGGATGCTGAATATCATATGTTAATTTTGTGTCTTGCTACTTTTCTGAATGTGTCTGTCAGCTGTAAGAGTTTCCTGATAGAGGTTTTGGGGTCTCTTATATATAGAGTCAATCATCTGCAGATAAGGATGCTTTAACTCTTCCTAAGAAGAAAGTTTATAGCACTAAGTGCCTGCATCAAAAATATCAAAGATCTCAAGTTAAAAATGTCATAATGAGCTGGACAAGGATGACTCTAACACATACGTTAATAGGAATGGGGACAATTTCAGGAAGCCTCCACTCTATACAAAGAACTATAGACAATTAAGAAATACTGACTGGGATAAATAATCTTCCTTAGGGAAGAATATATCAAATGGTTAGTCCTGAAAACATATATGTATGATTTAAATTATTCAGACTGAGTATGTTGTATTTATGTATTAAGAATATATATAATTAATGAAAAAGAGGCTATAAGTTTGAAAGTGAGCAAAGTTGGTTATATGACAGGGTTTAGAGGAAAAAACTGGAAGAAATAAATGATGTAATTACATGATAATCTAAAAAAAAGAAACAATTTTGAAAAAGATCATATACTGTGACAAAAAACCTAGTATTACACCAGAAAGTCTTGTAAAAAAAAAAAACATTATCCAAAACAGTAGACAGGAAGAGATAATGAAAATCAAGACTGCATGAAATAGAAACAAACAAACAAAAAAGGAATTGAAACATCTATTAATTGATGACTTGATTCTATGAAAAGATTAACAAGTTTGACAAAACTTTAGTGAACTTGACAGAAAGGATTTAAATTAACAAACTAGAAGTTAAAGGCAGATATCTTTTTCAAAATTATAATCAACACTGAGAAAATTTTGAGAATTATAAGACATACTTTAACTGTTTATATTTCAAGCAACTGGAAAATATTAAAAAAATGATACATTTCTAAGTGTACCTGACCTACCAGAGTTAAACAAGATGAGGTACATAATTTTAAGAATCTGTAACAAGTAATGGAATGGAACCAGTATTTGAAAAATATCCCCTAGAGAAGGTGGTATGAAGGAGAAAGGGAGAATAATGAGAGTGGAGGCTTAAGTTGGAAGAAGGATGAGAGAATAGGGCTGCAAAGGTTGTGTGTGGGGATAATTAATACCAATGATAGTTGAAAAAGTCATGTGCAAAATTACTACATTATAAGCTTCCTCAATGTCTATATATTCACATAAAAATTTTAATTGGAGTTAACCTTCACAGGGATAATGCTCTCCCCAGAAAATATATAATGCCAAATAAAAGGTCCAATACCAGATGTGGGGTGCCTCTCCCTAGAGACCCCTCAGAAAATATATGCTGTTTCTATTGTTCTTGGTTGCTGCCAGAACTTCTTAATGGGACCTTATTGCTGAAGACACCACACACTTGGCTCACAGGATGTGGAGACATCAAGCTGGTTCATATCAAGAAGTTTTCTCCATGCTGGCTAGCTTTCACGGCACCAGAAAGCAGTAGGCAGGCTTCTGCGGAGAAAAGAGCATCAACCATCTCATCTGAGCCCCATGAACTTCAATGACCAGTAGGGCTAGATGATGCCCATGGGCTCAACAGTGTCACAGATGCTACAGCAGTGCTAAGTGGACTCTGTGAGCTGTCTAAACAAACAAACAAAAAAAAACACAACAGTACATGAGTGTGTCAGGGAGTAAGGAGGTGAGGTGAATCTAGATAGGTGAAGGAGTATGTGTGGGTGAACATAAAACAAATATATTGTATGGAATTCTCAAATAATTAATAAAAATTCTTTTATGAATCTCCCCAATTTCACAGCAGATTTCAGTACACGATACAACCCTTGATTAATGAGCAACTGGAACTGGCAGGTTTATGTTTTCTTTCCTCTTTCCTAATGAACAGCATTAGGGTCTTACACAACAAACAATGTAGTGCCAAGTCTTATAGAAAGAAGGTAAACTTGGGACCTAGGAGATTTAAAGTGCCTGGTGCATAATTATGAGAACCTTTTGGATATCTATTACCCACATAAGAGCCAGGAGTGGCAGCAAACACCTGCAACTCCAAGTTTTGAGGAAACTGTGGGTTCCCTGTCTAGCCAATTTAACTGAGATGGTGAATTCCAGGTTCAGAGAGAGACCCTGTCTCAAAAATTACAGTGAAGAGGAGTAACCAGAGACACCTGGTATTGATATCCAGCTTCCACAATTGTGTATACCCAAATGAGTACATGCACACAAATGTGGGAATGAGGATTATGTCAACGGGGCTACTAAGAAAGAAGTGTCTCGTTTCTCTCTCCTTCCTCCCTTGTTTTCTACAGATATCAGACAAACTATGATCCCAGAGGAAACACAGACCACTAACTCAAACTGTTTGGCCTCTTGGAGCACAACCCAGGGGTAGAGGAGAGTTGGGTGGATCTAGAAAATTAGATGCTTATGACATCCTTGAAAATGACATCTCTTTAAGACAAGCACTTTGGCTCTACACACAGTGCCTCATTGTCTCTTCCCAGAAGCCAAAGTCCCCAACTACTTCCAGGCTGTTTGTCAACTGATAATGCCCTAAGGCTTCTCAGTGGAATTCTGGTGCACTCCAGTTCTGACAGAGATGGCTGTGAGCTATTTAGTAAGACACAGCTCTGCAATAATACCTTGAGGCTGAGCTTCCATTTCTCCATCACCCTCACTCAGCAAATCTCAACATGCAAGGTTTTGTTTTGGTTCACACTTCAGAAGGGCAGTCTGTCATGGTGGGGCAGTTTTGGTGGCAAAAGTTGGTCATGTTTTATCCACAGTTAAGAAGTGGAAAAATATGACGCCAGCTGTCTTTCTTGTATGCCATCCAGAAGTCGAAAAGTCAACCCCAGGAAATGGTGCCATCCACTGAAGGTACACTTTTTTACCTTAATTTACCTCATCAGATTAATCCCTCACAGTCATGCCCAGAGATTAGCACTAATCTAGATAAACCCACAGACCCATGTGGAAGGAGAATCTCAATCTTGTAAAGTTGATAATCAACATTAACTATCACACTAGTCTTCAAAACTCTTAGCCCTTGTCAGTCTCTGGACACACAAAAGTGACATGGGTGCCCATAAACCTTTTATCTGTGAAAAGGAGACTGAAATATATATTAGTTACTTTTTTTCTATTGCTGTGACAAAACATCATGACCAAGGCAATTTACAGAAGAAAGAGTTTATTTGGACTTACAGTTCTGGAGGATGAGAGTCCATGACGGTGGCTTGAAACTATGGTGGCAGGAACACAAGCTGAGAGCTCACATTGTGATCCTAAAACACAAGGCACAGAGTGAACTCAAAGGGGGTGGGGCTTTGAAACTTCAAATTCCACTCCTAGTGACACACTTCTTCCAGCAAGCCCACACCTCAGAAACTTACCAAAACAGTGCCAGTAACTGGGGACTAAATTTTTAAGTACTCAAGACTATGGAGGACATCTCATTGAAACTAGCATAGAATGGAAGACAAGAAAGCAGCTCGGCCATCCTTTGTACTGAATAAGACAGCACATCTATGCCATACAACTGCTACTCCTTATACCCTCCTAGGTTGGGTTGAACCCTGGAGTCTAGAGATCAGAAAGAACTGTTAGATCCAGAATACATGGGGGTTGATTTTCCAAAGAAGGCATGAAAATATTTGTCACACCACTGCTTTCCTACAAACTTGAGCATCTCAGTTAGGTCTGTGTCCTTTCCTTTGCTTCTAAAGATGTTTCTTGCTATAGCAGAAAAGTCCACGCCTCTCCTTTGTAATGATTGTTCCTAGAATGCCCTCTCTGGACATGCTTACTCATGGCCAAGTTGACGTGCTCTGAGAAGCCCGAGCTACACGCAGGAGCCACACATATTGGTTAATTTTGTACTGTTGTGACCACAATACCTGGAAGAAACAAGAAAATGAAGGCTTCTTTGGACTCATGATTTCAGGGTGTCTCAATCCCTCATTGTCAGGAATACATAGACAACGGTTAAAGCAAGTGGTGGTGACTGTTCACTTGTGGCAGCCCAGGGAACGGGAAACAGGCTTTTAACCTTCAAACACCTGTTCCCAGTGACCCACTTCTGCCAGCTATTCTGCTCCCCCTAAAGGGCCCATAGTATCCCAAAATAGTAACAGATAAAATGTGAGCCTGTGGGAGACATTTCCGATTCGAATCATAACCCCACATGAGCGCTCTAGTCCCGGGTGAGCCTCACATTAGTCATCCTGGCCCAATTAGCAAACAATGCAGGAGGAAGTCGTTGGAAGGGATGTTCCAGGCATGTCATTCCTGACTTCCTAGCAGAGATCTGTTACCATAAAGAGCAAAGTGCCTGGTTTGAGCCCTGTCTTATTCCCGGTCCCTGAATTCATAAGCACAATGAAGTGATTAGATTATACCATCAAGTTTCTGGTGGTCACTAAAAAGCAAGAGCAAATGGGTCTGAGATCTCTTCTCTGCTTCATGACAACAACTTAGGTTGCCTTTAAAAAGATTCCCTCTGGTTGCTTCTGCAAGCTCTGGGTATTTGTATGTGGCCACAGTGAACATGGAATAGGAGGTGCCCGATTTGAGAGCTCACCCTGCATTCAAGACATACATCATGGCTGCTGAGCATGAGCAGGCAACATCATCGCTCTTGTGGTTTTCAGAAGAGACAGGAGCTCTGGAGTGCTGAGGAACCAGGAAGGCTGACAGTCCTATCTCTTACTCACATGAGCCATTGCTGTTTGGAAGATTCAGACTGGATGACCTTGGAGACTGCAGGAGTCTGTAGCAACCCCTCACAGTGCAACCAGCTTAGTCAGCATCCGCTGGGAGCACAAACGAAGATAGGAAGACATAGGCCCTGATTCGCCCAGGAATACCTTGGGTTTGCAGTTCTCCAAAGCTACTTAGTGCTGACTCCATCTCAACTTCTACAACTTCTACAACTCATTGGAAATAGAGGTAAACACTCCAGACATATCCAAAACAATGCAAGGTTGTATGTCAAAAAAGACCTACCTCGTTTCTGGGAAGTGGCAGAGTTCTGGGGTTAAGGCTTATTTATATATTCATGGTCACAACAAACTTGACTGTGGTCACAGCTGCATCTGTGGAATAAGACTGGACCTCAGTACATGTCAGGTTGGTATTCAGGTTGGTATTCAGGTCTACAGGCGGCCACTATTGTAGCTGTATAGTTAACAGATGATGCTATGATACAATTTGGCATGTCCACAGATGCTTCAATATAAACAGATGCCCGAGATTTTCAAAGCCTCATCGACCTAGATTCCTCCTCCAAGGGAAAATGTACACAAAAGCTACCTGAACAGCACCTGTCTGCTACATGGGAGCCTCAGCCCGCAATAATGGCATGCCCACTGCCAGTACTTGCTGTGCTGATGGGTTCTCATAACCCAACTCATCCCCTGGAAGAAACAGCTGAAGGCACAGGGTGAGGAGTCTGCGCAGTTGTGCGTAGGCAAATGAGAATCTCATCCTGAGAAAGGATTGAGCTGAGAACTCATGGAGGCTTGGGTCGATCCCCAGAGCCTGCCAGAGCAAATTCATCGCTGTGCAGAGCTGCATGACCCAATGCAGAGGGATGGGACGTCTGCAGGCTGAAGCTGGAAAACATCTCAGGGACTGGAAGTGGAGATGAAAGAAAAGACAAAGAAGCCCTGGGGACAGCTATGGGCTGTAGCAATCACTGTTTCTGCTAGCTGTCCACTCCTAGAGGCCACCTGGGCCTTGTCACATACCCGCTGTCTTATGGAGCTTGAAGGGGATTATGATTGTTGTGATCATGGCTCTTTCCTTCGGGTGCCCAGATAGGAAGAATCTTCAGAAACTTATATGTGGACTGCTGTGTCTTTCAGGAAGGTGCCAACCTTATTTCACCATCAGCAGGAGTCTATAGGGAGAAGGAGTGTCTGCTCAGAGAGGACAATGTCAGTCTGAAAGCCCTGTGATGATTGTTCATGTAGGGCTTTGGGTTTTGAAGACTTGGGATCAAACCCAGGGCCTTGCACAGACCAGGCAAATGCTCTATCACTGAGCTTCTTTACAAGTCCACAACCTTCAGAGAAGAATGTTCACACTCAGATAATAGTAATCACTTCCAAGTTACTCCCAGGAAGGTCTGATCAGTGCGAATACCACACAGCCACACAGATCTCCCTGATACCACTGACCCTGACTTTTTTTCCCTGCATAGAAATTATTTTGAGCCATAGTTCACTACCTACCAGTACTTCATGTGAAAGACAGAAAGAGCAGTCAGACCCAAGGAAGAAACTAGCTGAGAGACCAATGTGCGCATGAAATAGGTTTCAAATGTGTGCAGTCGGGAAGCTCAAGATGTATTCTTGGCCAGAACTAGAGGGGTTATGGACAGATGTGCTGAACGTGAATGGCCTGACATGTACCAGGCATTGTGCTTGGCCCTGTCACCCCCTTCACCATGATAATATCAGCTTTACTACTTGTCTTGCTCCAGAGTCTGAGACTGTCCTAGGACAGGCTGCCCTGATGTAGGCTACCCCAGTCCCATTTGGATACCCAGAGGGCACCAGCCCCTGGGATTGGTAAGGAGCAGAAGCAACTGATAATTCTTTCTTCCTACACAGATGAAGGCTAATTTCCTGGATTGCAGATGCAGAAAGCAGCTGATGCTGACCTCAGGTAAGGGGTCCAGCCCCAAGGTTGTCCTCTTTCCCTCCCTCCTCCTCACGGGTCCACCCTAAAGTGACATCTACCCTATAACTGTCCTTCTTTCCTTCTTCAGTGTCTTTCTTGTCTTAACCATGTAGCAACTTGAAGATGCCAGCAACAATGCTCTAAGGTTATAGAGGTGAAACACCTTTATTAAACCACAAAGGCAAGCAGACCCAAGCTCCACATCATCAAAGCTACTTTGTAAGCACATGTGTCAAAACACCTAAACAACAGCAGAAGCAGTAGTGATGACAAACTAAGTTTAACATGAAAAGGGAACTGACAAGATGTGAACACAACTCAATACAGACACAAGAACAAGAGGATGCTGCATAGCACCCTTGTCTGCAATGATGAAAATAAAATAAGGGTCTCAGAACAATTTAGAATATGCCAGTATATTGTGGCAGAATCATCCTGTGGTGAAAGATAAAGAGCCTGGTATATGAGGGCTCTCCAAAGGAACGGAGAAGTTGTGTGGGAGAATTGTCTGTATTCTGTCAATCATGTTTTAAATAAACGCTGATTGGCCAGGCAGGAAGTGTAGGTGGGAAAACCAGACAGGAAGTAGAGGTGATGCAATGAGAACAGGAGAATTCTGGGAAGGAAGAAGTTGATTCCTCCTGGTCCTGCGCAGACCACCAAGGAAGTAGGATGTGACCTGCCAGCTGAAAAAGGTACCGAGCCTTATGGCTGAAACAGATCAGAACAGGATGGAGATAGAGACAGAGACCCACATTGGAGCACTGGACTGAGCTCCCAAGGTCCAAATGAAGAGCAGAAGAAGGGAGAACAAGAGCAAGGAAGTCAGGACCACGAGGGATGCGTCCACCCACTGAGACAGTGGGACTAATCTAATGGGAGCTCACCAAGGCCAGCTGGACTGGGAGTGATGGAGCATGTGATCAAACCAGACTCTCTGAATGTGGCTGACAATGAGGGCTGACTGAGAAGCCAAGGACAATGGCACTGGGTTTTGATTCTACTGCATGGACTGGCTTTGTGGGAGTCTAGTCTGTTTGGATGCTCACCTTCCTAGACCTGAATGGAGTGGGGAGGACCTTGGGCTTCCCACAGGGCAGGGAACCCTGACTGTTCTTAGGACTGGAGAGGGAGGAGGAGGGGGAATGGGAGGAATGGGAGGGAAATGGGAGGAGGGAGGAGGAGGAAATTTTTAATAAATAAAAATAGATCAGAACAATGGGTTAATATAAGCTACAAGAGCTAATAAGACTGAGCTAATGGGCCAATCAGTTTTTAACCTAATATAGACTCTGTGTGATTTTCTTTGGGGCTTGCCAGCTGTGGGGAACTGGGCGGGACATAAACCCCAACAAACAGGTCCTTCATGTTACAAAGCAGAGAGAGGAGAAGGGGAGAACGGAGAAGGGGAGAAGAGAGGGAGAGAGGGGGATAAGGAGAGAAAGAGAAGGAGAAAGAGAGAGACTGTGAGTTTAGGTTGGCTTACATGGTGTGGTCTGGATCCTTTGACAATGGCTGTCTCACAAAGGAGAGGCAGAGAACCTGGCGGTTGTTCAGTACATGCAGCAGAATTCCTCAGTTGTTCCAGTCTGGTGCTGAAGGCCTGAAGGATTGCTGGAAAGGCTAGAGTTTTCGCTCTAAATGGGAAGCCCAAAGAAGTTAGTGCTACTATCAGCAAAGGAATGCAACAGCAGAGCAGCAGATAGATTTGCCAGCAAGAGTGGCGGCAAGCAGGTAAAAATGAAGTCGGCACCTTCTTCTATGTCTTTATCAGGGGTGCCAGCAGAAGGTACAGCCCACATATAGAGTAAAACTTTCTGCTTCAAGTAATCTATCAAGACAAGCACTCAGGAACACCCAGCAGCTTGCGTTTCATATAACTGCAGATGTAGCCAAGTTGACAACCAAGACTAGCCAAAATAGCTGGTTATAAAATTCAGATTCCATGTCCCTCCAGAAACCCTCTGCATCAGGAACTTGAGAGAAACTTGGGAAGATGTGGCAGCTGGGCCAAGCCAGAAGATTTTACCATAGGCTAAAAAGTCTACTCCAGAGATTGTTATTAAACCCAGACCAGTGGATGGAGACAGGTCTGATTGTCTAACACAGAAGTGTAAGCCTCCCACTTACAATCCAGGGTGGGGGAGTAGGAGGAAGCAGTCATTAACATGATGCTGGATTTAAGACTCACCCAGTATGCAAGAAGCTGGAAGTGAAAGATGGACAGGCTTTTGCTACCCATTTCCTAAGAATAAAGTGATTAGTGTGTGGGAACTTGTAGGGAAATGGAAAAATCTACCATGTCCAGGCAATAATCGGGATCACAAAGGGGGCTCGTGCAGGTATCTGAGAAGTTGGTGCCTTTGCTAGCTACTGCCCTGATCCACACAGGTCTCTGTTAATGAGCTTTAGGCCACTTTTGGTCAACAACTGCTGTTGCCAAAATGGAAAAGTAGGTGCAGCACAGAGTGAGGAGGTGCGAGAAACTCGCGCTTCTGTCCTAACCGGGCACGGCAGCCTCAGTGCCACGATGCCACCTCACTCTGTTTTCAGACCTCTGCCAACTTGTCCTTTGACCAAACCTATCCCAGTACTACTCAAGGAAAGAGATTCTGGAAAATTCTCAGTTTCACCCCATATACATGGAACAATCCAACACAGTTGGAGTAGAGGGGTCCAAGTATCAGCAAAACTGTATTTGGACAGACAGACAATGGTCTGTCTGTTGCCCTGATGATAATCAATTTCCTTTTGGGAATTTCCAACAGATAAGGGGGGTGTTAAGTATATCATACTCCAGACACACACACGCACATGCACACGCACACACACTCCTGCACATACACTGACACATGCTAGTGTGGGACACACAAGCCTGTATAGTACTTCTTCCCCTTATTCATGGGAGGCTATAGTTCACTATACCCACATAGAATATCTGTTTTTTGTTTGGGGATTTTGGTTTTTTACTTTTATTTTGTTCTGCTGCCCTCAGACTTGAGAAACTTGCCTCAAGATTCTTTTTCCCATGTGCTACTTATCAAGTGTCTATCCCAGCTTATATATCACCTCCTCCCTGAGGCTTTCCCTGACCACAGCTACTAAGGTGCTCGGTGTCCTTTGTGCTTCACTAATGCACTCAACAGAGATCACCATGCTACTACACCCCCGTGACATAATGCTTCTTCTTCACAGCGACAATCTCACCTAGCCTCCATCTCCCTCCGAACGAGTCCACCGCACGCATCTTCGCACAGCTAGCACACAGGGACGAGATAGCAATGTTTTCCAATAAATACAGATGAATGGGTATTTTCCAGGTCACGTCTCATGGGTTGTGCACACTTTAATGGCTTAGTTTTAGTGTCGTTCAATTAATTGGAGTTGGCAAAACTGACACCTTGGAAGAAGCAATGGGAGTGATGACCAGGGACCGGAAGCTGTAATCAGACTTTCCACTCCACCTACTCCCTGGGTCAAGATTGGGTGGTTGCAGATCAAGCCACAGACCCAGACCAGAAAGAGTCAACCCCATGATTAAAATCTCCTTCTGCAATGTTTCCCATCCTCCACTGCAAAGGGAAACCTCTGACTGGCTTACATGAGGGCCGTCTGTGTTTGCTTACCAGACAGCTCCCACTCACTGGAGGACAAGAAGGAGGTGGCAGGAAAACACCTCATGGAATTTCCTAGTTTCTCAAGGAAAGTGTCCCCTTTGTTGGCCAGAATGTCTAGGAGAAAGTACTCAAGGATCAAAACCAGGTTTTACAAGTAACTTCCAGTTCAAACAAAATAGAAAAGGGAATGCATTTTCAAGCTTCCAGCTGGCAAAACCTTGGGAATCTTAGCAACTATGGCATAAGTTGGATTTTTATATTAACATTATTATAAAAGCCCACGCTTGACGCATTGAAGACCACAGAGATTAAACTCTTCTTGGGTCAGTATGAGAAAACACAGCTTTGCTATTTCACTCTTTTCTGCTCTTTCTTCACAATTATAGGCGAAAATAAAAAAATAAAATAAAAAACCCTGCATGTGAGCTGTGCTTTCTTATAAACACCAAGAAGTGAGCTGTGCATTCTTATAAAATTAGACTTAACTTGCTTAATAAAACAAAGAAAGTAATTTTAAAATTAATTTTAAGGACAAAGGATTGTGAGCCATTTTCTTTGGTTCTGTGGTATTTTAGGTCTTAAGAGACATTTATTAACCACAAAGACAACTATGAAGCAAGATGGCCAAGAAATAAGGTCTGTGATTATTGAGAAGAACTGTAAGTGCTGGGTGCTTCTTTTTTCCCTTTTCTTTCATGATTTATTTTTCAGCAGAGTTAAGACATAAAAAGTTCAGTTGCTTTGCATGTACACCAAACTATGGTTTTATCAAAATACTATTGGAGAAGCTGCCTTGGTGGTGCATGCCTGCAGTTCCCAGCTACTTGAGAGATCTAGATCACTTCAAGTCGTAAGTTTGAAGCCAGTCTCAGCAACATAGCAAGACCTTGTCTCAATAAAAACAAAACAAAAGCACTTTTGAGGGACAAGATCCATCCACAGGAGGAGTCCCTTAAATTAAATTCTCAGTGGATTTATCACGCTGTAACCTCTTCTCATTCATTTGATGCATACTCACTTATTGCACAAAGTCTCATTATACTTGCTGCTATAAATATTAATAATCTATCCTTTCAGGGGACTTCAGCGCACCCTTCCATCAAAGCACAGGTCAGCCAGATGAAAAAATTCAGAGCTAAACAATGCCGTATACCAAATAGATCAACCAGGCATTTACAGAACACTTGGTCCAGCTGCAGCAGAATCCACATTTCTCTCATCAGTAGATGAAAACATTTTCCAAGATAGATATTTTAGAGTGCAAAATGCTTGTCAACATTTTTTTCAAAATACAATGTAGCATCTCTTCTACAAAAATCAAGTTAAACTATAAACTTTAAAAATACAAATACATGAATGTTAAACAACATTGTCTATAACATGAGGGACTGGCTTGTTGAAGTTTTCTGTCCTGCCCAGTTCCCACAGCTGTTTATTCCCAAAGAAAATCACACAGAGGTCTCCATAAGTTATAAGCTGATTGGCCCATTAGCTCTGGCTTCTTATTAGCTCTTATGACTTATATTATCCCATTATTCTGATCTATTTTAGCCATATGGCTCAGTACCTTTCTCAGCTGGCAGGTCACATCCTGCTTCCTCGGTGGTCTGCACAGGACTGGAAGGAATCAGCTTCCTCCTTCCCAGAATTCTCCTGTTCTCATTGCATCATTTCTACTTCTTGTCTGGTTTTCCTGCCTATACTTCCTGCCTGGCCAATAAGTGTTTATTTAAAACATGATTGAAAGATTACAGACAATTCTCCTGCACCAATTGTCTTGATTGACCAATGAGAAATCAAAGGAGAAATTTAAAATGTATAGAAACAAATAAAAATTGAAACACAATATACTAAAACCTACAGGCTACAGTAAAAGCAGTATTGAGGAACAAGTTTATAATAACAACTAGGGGGTGGGGGAGCTTCAAAAGAGCAACTAAGGATACAATTTAAACAACTAAAAAAAGAAAGAACAAATAAAACTTAAAATTAGTAGAAGGGCAAAAATTGCAAAGAGTAGAACAAAAAAATAAGATATTAGAAAGTTACAAAATAACAACGATACAAATATTTCTTGAAAGGATAAAAAATCAACAAACCATTTACTAGTTTAAAAGATAAAAGGAAAAATTCAAATATATTATACCCCAAGTGAAAAAAGAGATATTATGACCAATATCATTGAACTACAAATGATCATCAAGGACTAATATAAACATACATGCCAACAAATTGGAAAACCTAAAATAAATGTACAATTTTATAGATATAATCAACAAAAAATAACCATGAGGACATGGAAAATCTCAACTAATCAATAAATAGTAAAATGGAATCAGTAGCAGAACCCAAATCTCCCAACAAAGGAAAGTCTATGCCTTTGTTAGGGTTTCTATTGCTGTGAAGAGAAACTATGGCCACTAGAACTCTTATGAGGAAAACAGTTAATTGAGGAGGCTCACTTACAGTTTCAGAGATTCAGTCCATTATCATCATGGCAGGGAGCATGTAGGCAGCCATGATGCTGGAGTAATCTCTGAGAGTTCAACATCTTGGAGGCAACAGGAAGTCAACTGAGATACTGGGCATTTTCTGAGCATAGGAAACTTCAAAGACCACCCCCATAGTCAAACACTTCCTCCAACAAGACCATACCCACTCCCACAAAACCACCCCTCCTATTAGTGCCACTACCTATAAGATTATGGGGGCCAGTTACATTCAAACTACCACAGACTAGGAAAAGATGGCCTAACTGCTGAATTTGACCAAATTTGGAAAGAAAACCTATCCCAATTATTCTCAGTCTACTGCTGAAGACTAAAAAAGGAGGGGTCCCTCAAAACGCCTTCTAGTTTAGTACCACTGATACATCAAAATCAGAGAAAGTAATGACAGCAAAACAAAAGAAAACTTCAGCATCCCTAATGAGTACAGATACAAAACCTCTCAACAAAATACTGGTGAACAAAACCTAACCGTCCATTAAAAAATTATACCCTATGATCAGATA